GCCCCGCCCCCAACCCTCGCCCGCCCTCGCCGCCACCGGCTCGTCGCGCTCGCGCCGCCGAACGTCAACAAACACTTCTCGTGTGGCCGCGCGCGGTGCAGGTTCTGTTGGCTGTGTCTGTGCTTCCCGAGGTGATCCCGTGTTGAACGAGAGAGAAGCGTTACGCCGTGAGGATATCCGCCGGTGAGTGAATTTTCGTGATTGTCATTGCCGTGTTCTGAATTTTCTTCAGTGCGTACCGTCGAGGTTGTTGTCTTTGCGATCTCCCTTATCCTTGCTTGGGACCATCAGCTCAGATAGGACCCTCACATAACCTCACTCATGTTTGTAACTGCGGGTATTTCTCTGCGTTGATTTGTGCTGTGATAGCAAGTGATAGCTTTTTCGTGCTAAGGGAATTTAAATACATTTCCCAACGTGCCACTTTCTTGATGTCAATGTCCTGTTCACTTTGTCTTCTTAACATTGGCGGAGCTTCGCAGCTAGCCGCCAAAGGCTCTCGACTTCTTATAGTTTATTCACTATCTCGTGGCCAGGGGAATACCGCCTTGAATCCTTGCTTTATCGGTGATAGTGCTGGCGGTATCACGCTTGTAACTCGCATTGTAGCTCGCTCGTCCCCTCGCCCTCTTTCCCCTCGCCCTTAGAGCGATGGGTGCACGTTGGGTTGCATATGCGGCGGGCGCTGAGGGGAGCCGCAGCACCATAAACGCCTTGACCACTCCAGCAGCAGAGCATTCTCACAAATAATCACACTCACTTCAATTATCTGCCACAAAATACCTTTTCACTTTGACAAAGCTTTGACATGTTTTCCTCAATTAATATTGACAAAAATTTGTTATCACTGGAATATTGCGGTGACAATTGATATCAGTGGGATGTCTCAATGACCATGTCACTATGACATCACTGTGTCACCATTATGATGTCAAATTCTTGTCAAGATTATTGGAAGAAAAAATGTCTCAGCGACAAGGTAATATTGTGACAAATAATTGATATCTCAATTATGAAAATGCTCTGCTACTTGGTATCAAAATTAGAAGAAGGACCAGGTGTCAAAATTAACACGTTCCCTGCGGCTCATTTTTGGTCCCTATGATTTAACATGGGAGCGTGACCGTATTGTGGGAACGTGTTAATGCTTGAAACAGAAATAATTTGTTGTGATGGTGTAAAAGAGCAACCCATGTTGAAAATGTATAAATTTTCATTTCTAAGTTTTAATTTAAATGTCACATAATGTCATATATTAATCTGTTGTTTAAAATACTTCTAAAAAATTTATTACAGTACCATAAGACTTTATCAGTTTAATAAAGTGCATTGAAAAAGGCAATAATTTTAGTGCACTTGTGAATACAGTAATTCCTTGGACTACCATTTAATATAATTTTGTTGACATAGTATACAAGTTTACTGCTTGATTGTTTTTTGACCAACTTTTAAAAATGAAATAGTTATGGCGTCTTACAGTGTTTGCAGTGAGATACCTGTTGATCTTTAGACATGCTATTTTAAGTTTTGCCAGTTTTACCTTGTGCAGTGTATGTTGGTTTGCCTACCACACGGCGCTAACGACACTTCGGATTTTATTGTAGGCGTGGCCTAAAACTATGCCTGTGCCTGTCGTGTTACAGGTCCATGATGGAGCAGGAGCATGTGGACAAGGTGAAATACTACCTGACGGCCTACCGCTGCATGTTGTGTATGCGAAGGTTCGGCCTCGCGAAGGAGCTCCTGGAGCACAACAAACTAGAACACGCCGAGCTGGAAGATGAGGTGTCGCAACCGGAAATCATCACCCTCGATTCGGATTGCGAGGTCGAGTCGATCCACGGTGCTGAAGATGTTGCGGGATTTGTTGAGAGCGCCGCCCCATCCCAGCTCGTCCCTGTACCGAGCGTGGTCGAGCCGCAGCCCCCCGTGGTCAGCGCCCCTGCGTTCAGCGAGAGGCTCCGGACGCTGCCCCCTGCGCCCAGCACCACTGCGCCCAGCGAGCTGGTCAGCACACTGCCCCCCGTGGTCAGTGCCCCTGCGCTCACCGAGATGATCAGCCCGCTGCCCTACGTGAGCGACATCAGCCCTCGGCCCTTCCTGGCAGGACCTCCGAAAATTCGGCTCGGCCCGCTGACTTGGCCGGCCGGTCCTCAGCTCGGCCTTCAACAGCCCTGCCGTTTCCGCCCTTCGAACGGCCCGGTCGGCCCGTCGTTCCAGCAGCCCAACGTGTCATTCATCCTGATGCGCCCTCGACAGCCCGAGCCGGTGCCCTTGGTGCGCGGGCCGAGCCCGTTCGCGCCCGCGGGGCTGGTTGGCCACGCTCCGAACCCTGGAGCAGCCGTCTCAGCCGCCCCCGTGCCCACCCTCAACTCGGCCTCTCCGCCGCTGGAGCCGGCCGCGACACCGCCCTCGCCCGCCTCGCTCGGCCCGGCGGTCGCCGCGAGTGGCGCCAAGAACAATCCAGACCCTGTGTGCCGAGCCGAGGTCACATCAACGACCTTAAACGAAGTGATCGCCCCCACCATCAAAAGCAGGACGCCCGACAGCCGACGGGCGTCCTTAATCTTGGCCCGGAAAAGGAGTAGCACCAGTACCCGCCCCTGTCAAAAGCCTGCCCTCCCTCGCCGCCAGAAGACCTCTAAAACCCGTGCCGCCCCCATGCTTGCCCGCCCCCACCCCAAGCCGCGCGTTGGCTCAGCGCCAAATTCAAACACCAGGAAGTACGTATCCATTTTAAAGCCTATCAGCAAGCCAGCTTCCCCGGACTCACCCCAAGTCGAATTGGAGACAGGCGAGATATATGACATCACTTCGACCTCCGAAGAGAACCTCGCTCTCACTCACCGGATGGCCGCCCCGGAGCCATCCAAAAGCGGCACCGCTCCGGTACACCTAGTACCATCGGGGGATGATACCACGACGCACCCCTCTGGCCGTGCCACCCCAGAAGGGCCTCCCCAACTCCAGGACGGCGCCACTGCAATACTTCCAGCACCGCCAGGGGATGATACTACGAAACACCCCTCTGACAGTGCCGCCCCTGAAGTGCCACCTCAACCCGAGGACGGCGCCGTTGCACTCGCAGCACCACCAGGGGATGATACCACGTCACACCCCTCTGATCATGCCGCCCCAGAAGGGCCTCCCAAACTCCAGGATGGCGCCTCGGCAGTACGCGCAGCACTATCAGGGGATGGTACCACTTCACCCCCCTCTGACCGTGCCGCCCCTGAAGTGCCACCCCAACCCCAGGACGGCGCCACTGCTGGGGATGAAGATACCCCGGCACGCCCTTCTCGTCGTACGTGCAAACGGTCCGCACGCCCGGGGCCCGCGTCCAGGAAGAGGCCACGCACGGCCGCCAACGCCTCGCCCCCGCTCGGAGAAACCCCCTTGGAGCAGCCGCCTACCCAACTCGTGGTTCAAGACGAGCATCCCCTTGCTCAACTGACGGTTAAAGAAGAGCAACCCGTTGCGCACCCAGCAGTTAAAGAGCAAGAAGATAACGCCCTTGTAACGCCAGTGGCAAGTGAAGAACTCCAGGGGGAAGGGGCGGTGACTCCTCGCCATTCTCTGAGGCCCCGCTCGCGGGCTGCCTCCTCCAGCAAGCAGCAGCTCCGCTCTGCCACCTCAGAGACCAGCCGCTGCTCCATCACTCCACCGCCCCTGGAGCCATCGGAGCACCGTGAACTCATGGAAGCCCTGGTCCCCCTCAACCTCATCGGCTTTCTGGAGGAGCATCTGGACTTCCCCGTGGCCTTGGGGGCTCAGGACGGAGAGCTGGTGGCGGGAGAGGCAGGCTCCTCAGAACTTCCCCCAGTCCGCCAACTGAGACTGGCGCGCCCGCGTCCCGCGTCCCGCCAGCAGACGGGTGCTGTGGCCGCCCCTTCCACCCCTGAACCGCCCCGACCCCTACTGGTGCCCAAACTCGAAGATCCTTCATGTGCGCCGGGACCCCGTCGCGGCCGCCCCCCCTCCGCCGCCACCAAGAGGTCAGCGCCAGCGCGCCAGCGCGCGGGCCCGGCGTCGAAGAAGACCCGCGTTGTGCACGCCCGCACTCCCACTGGCTCTGGTTCCAAGAGCAGCACAGCCACCGCCGCTGTCAAGAGGAAAACGCCCTCGCGGCGGCCTGTCATTTCTTTACCCCAATCAGGGCAGCAACCATGGCTAGAGAGGACTATCCAAGACCATACGAGAAAGGTGGAGGGGAGTTCGTTGCGTGCTTGCAACTTTTGCAACTTTAACGCAAGATATACCCAGACACTCGTTTTTCATGTGTTGAGTCACATAAAACGCCACCCCAACAAAACATGCTTTGTTTGTGGAGCGATCTTCAAGACAATTTCACTTCTTAAAGTGCACCGAACTGTTGTGCACAACACCGCAATTTACCAGTGTGCCAATTGCGATCATGGACGCTTTGAAACTAAACATGCTCTGAGACGGCATATTGAACTAGTCCAGTGTTTCAATAAATCAGTGTAATTGTAGTTTTGATTCAGTTATGTTCACCTGTTTACCAAGATCATTAATGTGGTAAATGAAACAAGTCTTTTTTTAAATTACTTTTTTGTATGATGAGGATTGGTCAATAAATTAATCAAGATCACCATTTCTTATTTAATAAACATGTCCATAAAACACTTTCGCATCCATTAGGCACAATTTCATCACACAATTATAAAAAAAAAAAAAAGCCTTCACTGGCAAATTAACACCAAATTAAACTTAAGGAAATTGTGGTTATAATGGCCACTCCATGTCACTTAATTAATCAAACCAACAAGCGTTCAATCTCTTGCTGAATAGCAGTAATTTGAGGTTTAAGTTGAGATCCTTCATTAACGGTGACAGACACAGCAACCACTGGCCTTGACACACCACAAGCACGTCCTAAAGCTTGCTTTGATCGCACAAACACATATGGCACGTTTTTATCTTCGCAAAGAAGTGGAAGATGCAGAATGATTTCAAGAGGCTCTGCGTCAGCAGCCATGATGATGAATTCAGAAAGACCTCTGTTCAGTGTTTTAGTGGCTGCAACATAAACCGGAAAGATTTAAGGAACAAACAAAAATACCCTTCTCGAAAACATCTCTTGAAAGCGTTCAAGAGTTAAAGAAAAGATAACTTGGCAAGGATTACCTTCATTAGCTCCTTTGCGCAGCTGCTTATAGTTCATAGCTTGCTGGACAAGATTGAGAATCTTGGCAGTGAGGGTGGCATCAGCCAGAGGGTAGGCCTTGGGGTTCACTTCTTCGGTCTGAGGAGAAAATGTACAAAACATCAAAAAGTTGAAACATGGACTTAGTAAACAGTAGTAAGACTAGTGCAAAAACCTCCACGCGAGCGTCTCAGAGGCTTAGTTCAATCTACAATTCGGCACAGGTTGATGATTAGATATAAAATATGGAATAATAAAGCGGAAAACCTAGCCGGTGGTAAAAAAAAATTGCAAAATAAACGGCAACCTCGTGCCGGTAACCTCTCCACACGTGGGCCCACTCTGCAAAGTCTTTATTGAGATTCTCTCTCACACAAAATTTACTTACCATTTCAATACTGTTGTATATTCAATATCAGGGACGAAATACTTCAAAGCCTCTCTGCGACTTTCGATCGCTTCACGGAGGATGAAATTAAGACAGCTCTAAAACGTGATCACAACGTAAACGCGAATAAACACTTCACTTCGACGACGGGCGAGCGTGCATGTGCGTGCGCTATGCGTGGGTATGTTCCTAACGAGCGACATGAACCAGGTGTGCCTCAAGGACTGGTCACAGATGGTCTTCTCATTGGTATGAGAAATACAGGGCTATCACGTTCTCCTTTCATTGGGGGAATGGAACCCTGCTAAACGGTTCGTTCCTCCCGTTCTCACTGTTGCCAGACTTCTCATGCCTGACAATATTATAGATTACTTGCCGATGCTTCTCTGTCATGCTGTTCCCGGCCTCCAGTTAATCTCTAGTACATTGGGTGTCTATTCTGAGTTAATATGAAATGTTGAATTGATCGAATTAGTGAAATAATGAAGGCATTGGAACTGCGGCAACAGTGGGATGGGAGGAACGGAACCGTCTAGCTGGGGAAACGGAACGCGGACGCAGGGGAACGTGATAGCCCTGCTAGACGTTGAGTTGTTACCCCGCGCTGCCCGCGCTCCAGTTCAAAGTCACAGAGGTGTGAAGCAGGTGGTGATTGTGTGATGTGAGAAAATTAGTAGCAGGATAAAGTTTTAAATTTAATAAAAGACTAATAATAAAAAAACACGTTACGGAATTCAATCGAGTTAAGAGTGGAAAATGTATATTTTAGCATTTTGATACAGGTACAGTTAAACATCATCATTGTCAGTAGATGAGTATAATGCTTGATTTCTTCTCTTGAATTTCTTTGCAAGTGGCCCCTGACCAGCTGTAGGAAGAATACAATACTTAAAAAAATAGATAAGAAAGTACTCATTCCATCTACCACTAAATACCACTTCAGAGAGTGGTAAAGAATGAGTAATATAAGCACTGTTCAGTTTTCAGAATTGCTTAATTTGGACCAGTTGCCACCAAATTGAATGGTGTATGAAACATCAAGTAAAATTCTACTCACAGTTCACAACATCAGATTCGGCTGGTGTCCTTGATTCAATTATAGGGTTCTCAGCAGATGGTTCTGGATTCAGTCTACTTTCTTTTTCTTGTACAGTATCAAATTCATTGAGACTATCTTCTAATGGCAAATCTTCTTCCTTGTGTGTTGGAGGAGGTAAAACTAGGCCCGATAACTTAGGGCTAGGTAATTTCATCCCGTGGAGTGTTGGTTTTGAAGATGCAGCTTCAATGCGATCTGAGTCATCACCTCCAATTCTTTCCACTTCGGGTAAAGTCTGCAAAGTTGGAGTTGGAAACTGAAGTTGGCTAGCTTCATACATGTAAGATTAACATGTTGGACATGTGCATACATACATTGTGGGGAACAGGTTGGTTTAAACAGGATACAGCATTGGTTGAGTAGAGAGGAAGTTCTACAGATTGAAAATTTCCTTCTTCTTTAAGTAGTAGAGCAATAGGGTCATCAATTCCAAGGAGATCACAAAAAAATGTAGTTTGGGGATTCAGTTGAGCTGTTGGTTGTCCATGTCCATGCTCATGTCCTAATCAACATAAAGGTTAGATTAAAATAAAACTTCTACCAGAAACACTAGGGGAAAAAAAAGGAGCATGACAAAAAGCAAAACATTTAAAAAATAAATAAAAATACCCGAGCTGCTTGATGAGTCATATGCTTGCACTGTGCGAATAAAATTTGTTGGTATTTTGAGATTATCTGCAAACTTTTTAAGAATAAGATCCTTCTCTTCTTTTGTCGGTGTAAACATCCATCTGGAAAACAAAACTCAATTGAAACTCAGGCTTTTAGAAATCAATTTTATCATTTCAGAGATAAAATTGATCAGTTAGTTAAAGGGAGAAGAGATAAATACCGTCCATTGCCACCTGGTCCAGGCATATAGTTTTGTGTTTGTTTTACTGATAAAAGATGGTTTGTAAGTGAAAGAATTGAAAGCCATTCTAAATCATATTCTAATGCAATTTCTTTATCCTCATCATGGGGAATATTAAGAATTTGCAGGAAACGCCTCTTCGGGAGACATTTGTCGAGGGCTAGAAATTTAGTAGAAGTAGTGTCAGCGTCATCCTCCTGAAATAGAAAATTAGTCAATTAAATCTCACAACCCAAAAAAGGGGGTAGAGGATAGTATAAAATTCACTTACTGAAATATGACGAATCAATGCTGAGAATTTACAATGTAAGTGTGCAGAAAACCAGTAGGTTGGTTTCAAGAGGTTGAGAAGCTCTTCAGCTGGCTGACTTCCAAGAATGTTATTTTTTATATCCTCTCTGAAATTTCACAAGATGCAAATAATAAACATGCGATTGAAAATAATTTTTTACCTCTCAATGCATTATAAGACTTACTCAAAAAAGGGTTTGAATCTTAGGAGCTGCTTCATATTCCCATGATGACAAACACCACGGGGCCAGTCATGTGATAAGGCAATATCAAGTTTGCCTGAAATCTGTAAATTTGAGTCTCTATTCCATCAAAGTGACACATAAAATCCTGACAGTAAGGATGTATAATTTGAATACATTAAAATTCACATACAACTTAAATAAACAGAAACAATAAACAAATATACCTGCTTCAGACGAAACACTTCCAAGTTGCGGATGTGATAGACACTTCTCATTGAAGAGCTAGAAAATGGTGCTTTTTCAAAGTGACCCATTTTGAAATCTCGTCCTTTGAAGATTCCTGAGAGACCAGCAATGCGAATCCCAGCAACCTGAATGACACCTGCATAGCCCAAATAATAAATGTTTGGAGCTACCCATCCTCCATAAGCCAATTCACTCAAATAATTTGAGGCTTCATGATTTCCTCCGATGAAAATTGTTAAAATTGGGGCAATTTTTTCTCCTGAATAATATCTTGAGGGGAAGAAAATATTTAGCTACAACAGCAAAATAAAGAAAACCAAAACAGCTCAGGCACTTACTTATAAAATGTACAAATATCTCGATACTTGATTGGCACTGCCATACATTCTAAGTCCTGAGTGTTGCGAGTTGACTGTAAGAGCAAAAATAACAGAATAAAACCTCCCAACTCCCAAATCGTCCTCTTTAAGCAATGTGAAAAGTGTTGGTACCTGAAAGTCTCCGCAGCAAATTAACAGGTCAACTTTGACACCTTCTTTCTGTTCCAAGTATGCAATAGTGTCATATATTTTCTCAAGTTCACCATGAGCACAACCTTCTACCGCAATTTTCATTATGATCTGTAAAATATACACCGTTATTTCTGGGAAAACATTCTCAGAAAAATCAACATTATAAAAACACAAGTCAACTACCTCTGGGAAGTTTTACTTATTTGTGTAAACGAACTAAACATAAATTGATCGACGTTATTTGAGCTATACCAAGAAATAAGTGCTTCATTGGTTAAGTTATTACTTTTTTATTTCTTTCGAGCATATTTTTTGCTTTACTATGTGCTGGGAAACGACTTCAAGGAAACTATATCCAAACTAACCTATCTTCTTTTAAAAACAAACACACTCAATGCTGCCACCCAGGAGACGTATAAACGTCTCCTGAGCAGCGATGGTCTAAACGTTTATATTCACGAGCTAGAGAAAGTACCACTTTTATACCAAATAAATAAATGATATGGAAGTAAATGTTCGCGATCAAGTGTAAGTAGAATCAAAATAGCTAGGAATCATTCGGCAGGAGTTCCGAAAGTGGTGTGTGGTATCACGTTTGTAGCAGGGCGTTTTAAGTAGGCAACCAAGCAAGCTCACGTGAAGGTTTGGTTGTATATCTACAGGAGTTTTTGATTGTCATTCCGAGTTCATTCCTTGGTTGTGCTCATCAGTCCCTTTACAAAGCCGGGTCTCGTTAAGACATCGTTATATCTTCAAGAAATGTGCGATGGTTTTTTACTTCATCCTTAAGGTTTTCAAAATAAATAAATGTTTGTGTCCTTTCGTGTGAGAGGCGGGGAGAAGAAGGGGCGAGAGAGGACAGGAAAAGAACTGAAGCAGAGTGTTTATCGGCGTAATCTAAAGCCAGGATGATTATCTAAACCCCCCAGTGATACACAGACTGGATGCCAAATGCAGACATCGCGGGCTCCTCATGTCTGTTGACAAGAAACTCGCCCCAGCTGAGTACAGCTGAGGACCCCCCC